GTCTTCTTTCATAGAATACGGTTATGCGCATTACGAGTCTAGTGATATATCTCTGTCAAAGATGACTGCCTTAACACGTGCTGTCACAGCACGCGGCATCAATCATTGGCTGAATGGCGCGTGCATTGTTTACATAAGACGTTACTGCTTCGGAGAAAATGATGCATTTTAGTCATTTTAATACCCATTTACACTAAATAGGAAATAATTTTTACCTACAAATACGTCAAACGCCTTTATTTATTTTTCCAATACATAAAAAAAATGTTTTAGAATTTAATTTGTCGCAGGAAAAAAGTTAATATTTCTGGCTCATTAAGCCGCATCGATGTCATCCTTATCAGTGATTGTAGAGTCCTAGCAAATATTCACTGCCGATCAGTGTGATTTCATCTATGTACGGCTAAATCTATTTGTTAAGGCCAGCTCAATGTTTGTCAAGGTCGCTGAGATGTAAATAAGGTTAGGGCACGTAATTATTGGCGAGATTGTGGGTTAGGGTAAGCATTGGGGCTAGGTCCAGGGTTAGGGTTAGGGTTAGGGTTGGGATTCGTGACCTAAAACGAAAAATTCAGCTGGCCTTATCATTTAGCACTACATCTATGTACCCATTCAGTGAGAGGTTTAGTATTAACAAATGACAGCTTCAACCTTTTAACTAACAAAGATCAATGCTTTATAATAAGAGATAATATTCTCTGAAACACTCTGCTGACATATTATGACTAAAACCAATATTAAGAAATGATAATTGTTTTCGACTTGACCTTTAAGAGCCACAGTTTTTTCGTTTCTATAAAGCACCATATATAGCCCGTAGATGAATGTCATAGATTAATTTCGATCTCTTCCATAACTATCTTTACTGACAACAATACCCTAATTAAGGCTACAAGAATTCATTAAATTTCTTTTCACAAACACCATAAAGGCCATTCCCCCACACAAGTCTCGCTATGCAGCGTTAGTGCGTGGGCTGTAAGGGAAGACAACTCTGTTCGGGAGTTTGTATATATAAAGGCTTGTACGTCGACAGTCCGATTGTCTACGATATCACCCTAGGTGGAAGTGGACGTAAAACTCTAGAAACGAACGAACGGACGACAGTCCGATTGGTCTAGAGTGCAGTGCTTCGACCTCTAGCTGGCCGGTCACCTCTGGCTTGCGGTTGTGGTTTCGATCCCTGGTGTGAGCGTATGTGGCTTGGAGAATGGGCCCCCTTCTCAACCTCGTGGGTTTACTCCGGGCACTTCGGTTTCCTCCCACAGGAAAGACCACTGCGCGTGCGCCGAGATAATAAAAATGAAAACTTGTCTGCGATATCACCTTCGGTTGAAGCGGACATTAAACACTAAGAACAACAACGACAGTCCGATTTCTCGTTGGACAAAATACCCGAGGCACACAATATCGATGTCTGGTTACCGATGTCATGTCAGCAACGGCGTTGAGATCTTGTGCACCAGAATTTCTTATCTCATGCATTGTCACGTAGCGATGTTCAAGCATGGATAGGGGAATATGTTGCTAAGTGTGTAAGAAGCTGGCTCGCTAGCCTGGAGGTCGGGTGTTCGATCCCTGCATTGGCCGAGAAAGTTCATCCAGATTTTCCGGCGTGATTCTCCCATGTCAGTGATGCAGGACGGAGGGCCTGACCAGGACAGCTGTCTAGTCATTCGGATGGGACGAAAAACCGAGGTCCCGTGTACATATTGGCGTGCACGTAAAACATCCCTTGGCAGTTGGAATTCGATATAAGAGTAGGCCGTAACGCCGCTGCCCGGGCAAAATTTCCCTCATGGCGTATGCCCGTCTTCATTAGCCCAGTTTAGGAGAAGAACAGTAGGACGTTAAACCCCATTTCATTTCATTTTCATTTCAAGCATGGACATTAAGGCATCTGTCACAGACAGCGTCAGACACAAATTATCACTCAACGTATATGTTATAATAATGATGTTGTATGATAATCTGTTTGACAATGAGCCAATAACATCACCAAGCCCGGACTTAAGGCATCTTGTCACAGACAGCGTCAGTCACAAATTATCACAAAACGTATATATTATATATAATAATACTGTTAGTCTCTATCATCCAGAAAAATATTCTACGAATACTAGGAGGTTCTGGGTGACCGAGACTATAATACTATGATAAGGTCCATGATAATACTATGTGATAATCTGTCTGACAAGTGCGCCTTATGTCCAGGCTAGGCGATCTTATTGGATCATTGTAAGTTAAGGGATGAGTTAGCATTGGGTTGACTTGGAGTTTAGTTAGTGTATAGTTAGTATCGAGTCCAGGGGCGTAACTGTTTGCGGGGTGTGTGTGTGTGGGGGGGGGGGGGCGGTACGCCCCATACTGCACACACAGAGATCCACCTACTTCATACTTCGAGAATAGATCTCTGTCCTAAATGGCCGCCATATCTAACAAATAGTATATCGCCTGTAATGCGGTTCTACACCGTTTCACATCTGGCATACACACAAAGACTAAAAAATTCTATTCAATGTCATTAAATGAAAGCAGAAAAAGTACTTCTCAAAATTCTCGAAATATACTTAGTATTTTCGACTAAAATCGTCGATTTAGTATTCAAAATGTCGGTTAACTAGCTTAGTGTCTGTTCTAAAGCGAAGCTAACTGTAGACAGACAGCCTTAGTTTAGTATGATGTATGCCCGTGACCGAGTCAAGTGTTGCGTTATTCAACCTATATAATTACAAGCTATATTTTACACACGGAATCGATCTTTAACACTTCTTTCAATTAGAGTTACCCTGGGTATTGACTCGCGAATTATGCGCATAAGCTAGACACGCGGAATTGAGATTCTGGCCACTCGTTTCCGTTCTGTTACTCAACTCACATAATTTAATCAGAAACAAATTCAAAACCATGGGATTAGTGTTTAAGGTATTTTTAAATTTAATTTCGCTATGTTATAAACTATTAATAATCCATAATTGTGGTGTTTGAAACTTGTTATGGCTTATGGGGTGTTGGATGGCAGAATGGTTAGCGCATGAGCGCTGTATCATAAGGTCTGGCATTGGGTCAACTGGCGTAGTTTCGATTCCCCGGTTGTACGTGACAAGGAGTAGGATTTGCCTGTCCAACCTCGTGGGTTTTCTCCGGGTCCTCCGGTTTCCTCCCACTGCTAAAGATCCCTACGCACAAACGAATTACTAAAATAAAATTTGACCATAATATGTTAGTCCCGAAATGACCTAGTTTGTGTCGAGTGGACGTTAAACCCCATCTCTCTCTCTCTCTCTCTCTCTCTCTCTCTGTTATGGCCTGCATTCCGGACTTAACATATGTCAACCCCGTGAAACCACTATTAAAATCACTAATTACCACTTCAGCTCCGATACTGTATCAACCAAGATCAAAGCAAGACACATCCTCTTTTGTCCTGTTGAAGACATTTCTTTCTTCAACTCAATCTATATTTTCTAATTACATTGGGAGAAAGCTCAGTACACGGGGTATTGATTTAATAAAGACGTCGATAACAAGTCACAATGGCATCAGTAGACAGCTAATCGTCCAACAAAATCATCAACAATAGCTGAAATATGAAAATTATACTCATCGCGAACTTATTTTGTCTTTTTGTTGGTTTTTTTTGTTTAAAAAAAAACAACACCTAATGGATATCACTGTGTGACGAATGACCGAACTGAACAGATCAAGAAAGAAACCCCGGCAAAGTCAGATATGTGGCCCACACAACTGCTGGAATCTAAGACTAGATATATAATTTTATACTCTTAAACATACATTATGGGAGATTAGATAAAGCGCTGACACCCTAAAGAGGCGAACCTATTCCTTGTCACATATATCCGGGGAATCGAAAACATGCCAGTTGACTCAAAGACAAATCTTATGATACAACGCATTCGCGCTAACCATACGGCCATCCCCCAAACTTGAAATAAACCGCAAACCTGAATGATTATAATTAAATGAGTTTAGTTCGACTCAGATCAAAAATAGACCAGTATTTTAAAACTTGATTCTACCACGACTTAATAAACTTACAACCACCAGGCTTATTCAAATTTAAAGATATATTATGGGAGATTAGATAAAGAGCTGGCAGTTCTCACTATAATAGTTAAAAACTAGATAATGTAAAGGGAATTTGCTGAATATTTCAGTCAAATTGATCCACTATGAACCGAGATTTTTGCGATTGAATTTTCGGCCTAGCCTCGATCATCATTACTAAAGTCGGTAAAATAAAAAATATAAACATAGTCTTGATTATCCATTTCAAGATTAAATTATGAATGAAAGTCGAACAGCAAATCGGAACCTAATCCAATAAACATCGCAGGCTAGCAATGCCATCGAGAGTTGATTATGGTCTGGATAGGTTAATTAATGTCTAATTAATAATTTAGATAACATTTAATCAGGCCTAAAGAAAGACCTGCAATAGGCAGATTTAGCTCTTGCATAATGTATGTTTAATATGTATATTCTACCAGAAATGAAAGGGACTACTTTAGTACAGAATTTTAACAGTAATAATATCTTGTTTCTTTCAAGTATAAAATAATATTTTAGGTCCTAGCTAAATTATCGAATTTTATGATAGAAATGGGGTTACTTTTCTGCTCCATCCGGACTAATGTAGATGATCATACGCTATTCCAACTGCCAAGGATTATTTTACGTGCACGCCAATAAGTACACGGAACCTGGCGTTCTCCCCATCCGAACGACTAGACACTATTCCTTGCCAGACCCTCCGTACTAGACCACTGACAAGCGGACAACACCGTGGCTTTCGGAACTTGATGACGTGAAAACAATAGTCCTTGAGCTAATACAAAATGGCGTCACATTCCCAGCTCTCGAAGTTGTCACCGGCAAGTCAAGACATATTAAAATCGCTTAAGAACGGTCTGACAGATGCCAAACTCAGACCGCACAAAGATTGTAAAGTCTGGCTTCGAGAAGATGGAAAATTGGTGATAGAGAGACCAGAAGACCTGTGGAAAAAACATTTTGACAGACGCAAAGATAATTGCGAAGATGGTTTCTTCACGGCACCTTGGGAACCATATAGGTGTTTGGGGGGATCTTTAACGTTAGAAACAAGCGATTTGTTATATCAAACTCTTTCTGATTATTTGAAGAAAAACGAAAAATGTAAAACAGAAGATTCTATAGGTGAAACCTCGATTCCGAAAAAAGAGGTAGCAGAAGTTAACGAAGAAGTTAAATGCTGCCGCAATCGCAGGCGCCCTGCCACTGGATTCGAACCGATACAAGAATCGTTAAAGATTGGCGCTGAAAGAATCGTGGCATTGAGAGGTGGATTACCATACATGGAACATATAAAAAGAATAGAAAAACGTTTAGAGGATAAAGAAGAGAAGCCGATTAATGGAATGATTTTGATGTCCACGGATGATTTAGCTTTCATATTTCACGCTAAAGAATCGACTACGTCGCGTCCCGCTAGCAGTATGAAACAATCCCGTGATGGTGGTGATTCTGATACCATCACCAGCAATAAACAGGATTTAAAAAACAAGGCTACTCCCGAAAAAGATATCAAAGGCCAAATCAAGGAAACTCCAGTTAAATCTGAAAAATCAGTGGACAGTTTGTTGAGGGTTAATAGCGGTTTAACTGACAGATTAAACAGACTTAGAGGGGATAATCTCGAGTTCCTTAAAGCAGTTCACAGGATTATGATTATTTTGAAAAGTATCAAATCAAAAGATTTGAAAAGTCGATACCCACTTAGTCAAACTCAAATTCGAGATATGGAGAAAGAGCGAAAAGTTTGTAAACTGGCTGGACTGTCTCTTTTCAACAAACGTCCTTCAACCGATACTAACTTGTCTCCCGATATGTCCCCTCCATGCATACCCAGTAGACATACTTCACTACTCGCGCCCACTCGAAGAAAAACTCGTCTGTTGACTATATTTGGTCACGGTGGCCCATTGATATCTTTGACTAGTCGTATGAATACAACTAATGATAGAAGGTCACGTATGGCGGTGGAGAGAGAAGTTCGCGTGGAAACGTGGGAAGATTTGTTGCGAGTTGGTGATAAAACGCCCGAACCTCATAATAACCACGAAGTGGCGGTAAATGTGGTACCCGAAACAATTATTCCAAAACCTACAAAGTGTTCCAGGTATACCAGTGCCAATGAACATAATGTCGCAGAAGAGAAAAATAAACCCGCCATTTGGCAAGTTATAGCCAACGAAAAGGTCAAAAACAAAGGATTTCAAGAGACAAACAAGCATGTAAAAGCTAAAGATCCCGCTAATATCCGTCAACGTCTACAGAAAGAAATGGACACATTGACCACAAGTTTAAAAGATAGTTGTAACACCGAATTGAAAAAGTTAAATAGGGAAAGGCTCAGTGCATTTCGTTACAAATTCGGTACCCTTCGTGAAACGTCTACTCTGGAAAGTCATTTCGCGAAGATGAGGCAACCCAGAGAGTATATAGTGAACCGCCTTCATGAAATGCCAGACGTCATTCCTTCTAAATGGTTAGAAGAATTAACAGAAAGGATCCACAATCTCGTGGGACCCGAAGAGTCCGAAATTAACGTAGCTTTAGCACATCTTGGTCAGCATTCCCAGGCGAGTGTAAAAAACATTCCCCAAACCAAGGCTCGTTTATGTTTAATAGTCATGTCATTACCAGCTTACGATATCTGTAAAATATCTACCCAATTAGCCATCACATTTATACTAGAGAAGGTTTTTCAGGGCCCTGTGGAGGAATTCTATCATTGGTTAAGTTTAAGAAAACTGCCATTAGCTATAATAAAATAATTGTGAAATATAACCTTTGCACTAAAAAACAGGGCACATCCTGGGCACTTATTCACGAAAACTTAAACTAAGTTACAATCGAAATTTTAAGAAATACTGCAACTTTGATTTTACTGGTCAGCCAATCGAATTGCAGTATTTCTTAAAATTTGTCGATAATAAACAACAGTCATTATCTGTGATTTATCACCCTTCTTTCACCTTGAATGTAATTATCGGAAACAACTCACCACCATCTGAACGATCAATAAAATAAAAGGTTTTATCAAATGATTTTCTCTTCTTTGTTAAAATCTACTTCAGAATTTTTCAAGCATAATATGAAAGATATTTTTTTAAAAATACAAAATCATTAAATGAAATAAAACATATTGAATCTAGGCCATTACGCCATCTTTAACCTCTGTTATGATTACAGAATAAAACACGAGGGAATATTCATCGTTTCGCTTCTTCTCATTTCGTATTTCATTTGTAACGGATATTTGTGTGTTTCCATCAAATCTGCTTAATGTAAATACGGTTTCCATGGTATTCCATAAACTATGGTTTGTTATTTTAAGCGTACAGTATCAGTAATTGGACAGAAACATTACAAGAGAGAAGCAGGATCGTTATTTCATTAATCTATAAATCTTTTTTACTATCATAGAACAAGCACGTCCACCACAACTCTTATCTTGAGTGGACATTTTACAAAAATCCCACAAGAATCGATAATTTAATAGACTGGGTGTTAATAAATAATTAGTTACCCGTTAGAATTGTTAGGAGACGCTGTTACAGCTTGTCTATGGATACTGTCATGGGGCTGAATGCCGTGTCAAGAGAAATGAAAGAGGAACAATTCCAAAGCTTCCCGGTGCTAAAAGCATTAGACGTGTATGAATTATTGAAAACGTTCGACCACAGCTAAATTATTACACAAATCAAGCACGAAACATCTGTCCAGCGTTCACAAATTCCAACTCTGCAACGTTAGGATAGAACATAACACGCTTGCGGCTATTTTTTCGGTAAGGATAACACCATTACACTAGGGTTAAAATTGCCACAAACCATTACTGAACATATGTCGTCTAAAATGAATAGCAAATTCGTATATTTTTTATGTTTTGTCGTGCCCGTCTTTATTCAATCTGATTTAAACACAAATCCTATTTCGTTTCGTTTTTTATAGTTCAAAATTTCGTTCTACTTGTCTTCACAACACTAGATCTTTATTTAGTGTACGTAGGCCATCAAAAGTATAAAAAAACGAAACGAAATATAGATCTGTATTTTAATCAGATTGATCTTCATTATAGTCCCGTCGGTGCAGAACTGTAGGTCGTTATACTCCATTTCGTTTCGTTTTGTCTTGCCTACTTCTATTTGATGCGGTTTTTATTTCAAATCATGTACACACAAGTTATTAAATATTTATACCGCGGTCTCTATATAGATATCTCCAAAGGACTGGGTCTGAAAATATTGATTGCCAGGAGACAAAGGGGGCCCAACCACCATTTAATTTTTGAAATGAATAATTTAAATTTTCAAAAAATATGTACGTGGAAACAAAAAGATGTAATTAGTTTCCCAATTTTGTTTTCTTTATATTTTTTGATAATTTATATTTTAAATATATTGTCTAAATGTCTAAGGGGGCTCCTCGGGGTCCCACTTGTCATTGGGCATGCTGACAACCTGGCCAGTCCGCCACAGTGCATGTAGCTGATAACTCCTTATAGTTTGTTGAACTCGTCTTTATATTTTGATATGTTCACAGTAATCTTAATGGTCACCATTCCAAGGGTTAGTGCTAAATGATAAGGCCAGCTCAATTTTTCGTCATAGGCCAAGAGATGTAAATAAGGCCAGCGCTAATCCCAACCCTAACCCTAACCCTAACAAATAGATTTAGCCCATTCGAAGCCCCAGAAGAAGAGAGATGTATCACGTGCACCACAAGGATGTACAGAAGGTCATCGCCTCACAAAGGTCACCCCCAGTCAGTTTAAGATTTTCAAATCGCCATTTCAGTCTGTACTCTGAAGACTATTTAAATTCCTATCATTCTTTTCACCAGATAGTAAATAAAACAATTAACTAGTAACTGAGACGTCCAGACCATGTCATGTCATGCATCCAAATAAACATCATCTCTTTTCGTGTAGATAATCTGTTTCAAACTAATAGCCGCCATTAATGAGCTTGCGGCTGACAGCACAGTCCACAACATATCATGATGGACATGTTGCAAGAGTCTATTATAAATGGTTTTACATTAGAGTTGATTTATTCCAATCAACTTCTCTTGATATATTTCGTCTGGTCAGATAAGAATATAAGCAGTGGATTGGGTTAATGATATATTAATGGAAACGTTCTAAATCTGGACATACACCGTAAAATAAATTAAGGTTCAATTATTTCACAAAAGTAAATCATGTCCAATCTGATTAAAATACAGATCAATATTTCGTTTCGTTTTTTATTCTTTCGATGGCCTACACTACATGAAGATCTGACCGGTTGTAGCGATAGGTCGCGTCAAAGGTCATACGAGCGGTTTTTGACCCTATGACGTCAGACATTTGATTAACCAATCAGCATTGATGTTACTAGTGGATTACCCACAGTTCCGTGCAAAACACGCCTAAAGCTGAACTGAAATAAATGGATCATATAAGTATAAGATACTGTTTTCAAGAATTTGTTAAATCATCGTTTTGGTATTACATGTATAGCCTAATTGGACTCAGGGGGGGGGGGGGGCTTCGAATCCCCGGTTGTACGTGACAAGCAGTAGGGTCGCCTGTCCAACCTCGTGGGTTTTCTCCGGGTCCCCCGGTTTCCTCCCACTACTAAAGACCACTACTTCTAGGCAGAATTAATGAAATAAAAAAAATAAACCATATTTTAGTCCCGAAATGACCTAGTTTGTGTCGAGTTGACGTTACCCCCCCCCCCCTCTCTCCCTCTCTCTTTGGGCTCATTTTCTATAAAACAGAACAGTTCAGCTTTGATTAAACTATGGCTCAGGATCCCGGACAACTAAAAAAATAATAGGTACCATTCTTAAAATCTCATTCTTTAAACTCAAAGCGATAAAATCATTCACGGAGAAAGCCATCTGTAAATAGCACATTTAAGGGATGAACAACCACAGAGTTCATTCACTTGTAAAGTATATGTGACGAAAGGATAGTTAATCAGATTCAGTTGTTTCTAACAGCTAAGATTTCTTATAAAATAATCATTAACCCCTTTAGACGTTCAGATTAATCTAACTATTGGAGGATTAGGATTAGTTTGTAAGAAAAGACAAGCCACTGCATTTAATTATATATAACACAATTTCTTAAAGAGGTTAATACCACATGATTTTTAAAAAACTGAATTTACTACTGATTTATAAATTAATTAAAAATTAAAATAGAAACCCAATCTGATTAAAACACAGATAATATTTCGTTTTATTTTTTTTTATAGGTCAAAATATCGTTCTACTTTTCTTTAGTACACTTGGAACTGGAAGAGATGCTATATAACACGCGTTCTAGATGATGTGAGGGTTTAGCCAATGAAACGGTCTGTTACGGCGAGTTTTTGGCGTGAGGTACACGGACCTGTGGGTAACGCACTAGAAACATCAATGCTGATTGGCTAATCAAATGTCTGACGTCATAGGGTCAAAAGCCGCTCGTATGACCCTGACGCGACCTTCCACTACAACCGGTCAGATCTGTATTTTAATCAGATTGATAGAAACCTAGTCACATCAAAATTTATAATTATTTTTTTATAATTCTTCAGTATATAAAACAAGCGGTTGATATGCAAGATACGTCCACATTTTGCTAGAGCTGGACAGAGAAAAGCCCAATAAAGAAGCCATTTTTCGTACAATCAAGGGCCATAATTCAGGAAGTTACGATCCGATATGCGTGAATATGAGAGGTACCAAGCTCTTTGGGTTATAAACATGCATTTCAAATTTCATCAAAATCAGATGAAAATTGTGACCTCTAGAGTGTCCACAAGCTAAAAACGTGATTTTTCGTACAATCAGGGGCCATAATTCATGACGGACAGGGGCGACGACAATATACGTCCACATGAAAATGTGGGCGTATAAAAAAAGAATTCTTAAGCTAAATTCCCGGACCATAATTTTGCATTGGTTTAGAACCTATATTGGAAGTATTTATCACGACAATGATTAAATGGTTATATTAAAATTAGTATCCATGGTATTACCACGTCTGACTGTAAAGTTCTGAGCCAAACTGTGAAAGACCTGTACAAATTTTTCTTCAGCCGCTACGCCCTAAAAAAAGTCCTTCACAGCTGACATGACGTCATCATTACTAAGAAAATGACGACTGACTAGTACTTTTTTCATTGTTTGGAAATAGGTGGAATTCTGACGGGATCAAATCGAGTGATTAAGGTGGGTGGTTAAATGCGTTCGAAGTCACAATGATGGATAGCTGACGTGGCAATTACCGATTTATGACCAGGAGCATTGTCTTGGTGGAACATCTGGTGCCTTTAGTGAGTATTCCCCATCGCTTAGCTTTGATGGCGTCATGCGAATGTCTCAGTAAGTTAGCATAATATCTTCCATTGATAGTCTGACCTTTTTCAGTGATGAATCCAGGTCTCACCCATGTTTACAAATCTAGCCAAAACAGCGCAGATTGACACAGTCAAGAGCTTTGGCACCTTGCAGAAACTTTTGTCATTCCTAACTCGTTGGCGATAATGTACTCAACCCTCTCATAAAGAGATGCCCACAACATTGGCAATATGTCGAGTGGTCAATCGTCGATCAACCATCACCATATCATGCACTCGGGTAATATTTTCTTGAATGGTGGCTGTTGATGACCTTCCAGGACGCAGGTCATCGCAAAGGCTCTCTCTCTGACACGCTTACATCCCGCAGCCCACATCTTGACTGTTGGAAAGGAAAGGGCACGATCCCCTAAGTGGAGACGGGGTCGGCATTTATCTGTGTTGGGATTAGTCCTTGCATTTGCAGGTACTTGATGAATGCCCTATATATTGCCAGTTTTGTCTGTTTATGGTGATTTGGATAGGTGCACAAGGCGATCTGTTACGAAGACTATAACACTACAGGTGTAGTTCATATGTCTATGATTCCTTCAATGATTGTTCTTGTTGGTAGCATAAGTTTGTTTTAACTCCAACTGATCTATCCTTTTCAGGCTTAGCAATTTTCAGCCAGCGCTCCTATAATGAAGTATCCATCTTCCCTTTTAGCTAATTATGAAATTATTTTAAAAAATGCAAAGAATGAATATTCTAGACAAAGAATTAAAAATTGGAGAAGGAAGGGGAAATCTATAATATAGATTGTAGGTTTCAAAATTATTAGCACATCGTTAAGCTGGATCAAATTATATAAGATCAAAATTATGTTTTAATGACACACGATTCTGTTCAGCCGACCATCTATAGAGCCAACGATATTATTTATCTTCCTGCATTATCAATTGTTTTTCAAAAGCGATGAATTGTGAAACATACAGAATTGCAGTTCTTAAAGGTTTGTTAGCGCGTGCGCTTTGTATCATAGGGTCTGTCATTGAGTCAAATGGCGTGCTTTCCCCGGTTGTACATGACAAGGAGTGGGGTCGCCTGTCCAACCTCGTGGTTATTCTCCAGGCCCTTCGGTTTCCTCCCACTGCCAAAGAAATCTCTACGCGCAGGGGAATTATTGAAATAAAACTGGACCATATGTTAGCCCCCCCCCCCTCTCACTCTCTCGCTCTCTCTCAGGTTTATGATTCATTTCAAGTTTAGTGGGTTGAATGGCCGAATGGTTAGCGAGTGCGCGTTGTATCATAAGATTTGTCATTGAGTCAACAGGCGTGGTTTCGCTTGTACGTGGCAAGGATTAGGGTCGTCTGTCCAAACTCGTGGTTATTCTCAGGACCCTTCGGTTTCCTCCCACTACTAAAGAAATCTCTAAGCGCAGGCGAATTATTGAAATAAAACTGAACCATATGTTAGTCCCGAAATGACCTAGTTTGTGTCGAGTAGAGATTACCCCCCCCCCCCCTCTCTCTCTCTCGTAAAGGTTTGTTGCACCTCTGGAAAACAATATCATCTATTGGTGGCCATGCTGCGCCCGAAACCATGTAAAGTTTTAAAATATCTACCAGATTATTTCACGGTAGACTATTTCATTAACTCTATAATTAATATCAAATTGATGCCTTGGGTGAATTTGTTATTTTCAAATTGATGCCTTGGGTAATTTTTTTTTTTTTTGTGGAATGGCTGGTATGGTTGTTATTTTCTGAAATGACGGGTGTAATTAGAAATAGATATGTTATAATATCAAAATCCACAGTGGCATAAACATTATGCTATTAAAAAAAACCTAGTAAATATGTTTATATAGATATAATATTTGACAGATCTATTCTTGAAAAATATATTCTACAGATTACATTTATCAAATGGCGGGTGTGTTTGTTATTTTCTGGAATGGCGGGTGTGATTAGAAATAAATATGTTATAATATTAAAATCCACAGTGACATAAACATTATATTATTAAAAAAACCCCAGTAAATATGTTATAATATCAAAATCCACATTATATTATAAAAAAAACCCCAGTAAATATGTATATAGAGATATAATATTTGACAGATTTGAAAAATATATTCTGCAGATTACATTTATTCAATGCTGCCATTATTAGATTACTTTTTCTATTAATGCTAGTCTTTTGGGCCTGTCTATCAATTCCTGTATCAAAGATAAGAAATATAGTCTGCCTACATTAAACTCTGGAGACAGTCACGAATTCCGTGATAAAATCGTTAACCCTTGGAGGATAAAAAAAATATATATCCGTTCTACTTTCTGCTATTGCGTCAATGTTCTACAGAGGATAATGTATGATGCGTCACAAATAGCTGCTAATTTCCATACATCAATAGTTTTCTTGCGATAACAAGATTATTTGTTATTGAACAACTGGTTCCTTGCGGGTCCTTACATATAATCACAGTATGTAATTTCTGTAAAGCTTCTGGTATAAGGAATTGTTTCTTGGGAACAAAATGACTTCTTTGGCTGCTTCCATTTGACAGTAACTCAGCACATTGAAGTGGTATGCTTGGATGAACATATGTTCTGAACGTTTAAAAGTAAAGAGAGAGAAATGGAGTTTAACGTCCACTCGACACAAACTAGGTCATTTCGGGACTAACACATGGTTCAATTTTATTTCAACAATTGGCTTGCGCGTGGGGGGGGGGGGGGTCTTTAGCATTGCCAGGAGGTTGGACAGGCGACGCTACTCCTTGCCACGTACCAACCGGGGAATCAAAACCACGCCAGTTGACCCAATGACAGACCTTATGATAAAACACGCACGTGCTAACCATTCGGCCATTCACCCCCCCCCCCCCCGCGAATCCCAAACGACCATAAGCAATACCATTAAAGGCTGGATACTAAACCTTCAATAATTCAACTCAAAGTTAAATATTCTGATCTGATGTTGCCATTAGTGATGGGACAAACTGCATGGGATTACTTTTTGATACAAAAGATTCTAAACGGAAGTCGGTTTGTTTACGGATTTTAATTTCATTGTTGGCTTACCGAGTCGACGCACAACCAATTGTACCTCAGGATCGATTTATCTATGGTGACAGAATTTGGAACGATAACATACCAACGTATAAATTCCTTGACCCTAATTAAATATGCCTGACATATAAAACTCTTTAAAGGACTGCAAAATCAGATATCCAGAATATTGTAATCGATAGGAAACTTATCAAACGAACTGTCTGTTAACGAGACAACCTGTTCATTGAAACATTCAAGAGGAATTGTGTTTTGCTAGAAGGTGGATCTGGTCAGCTATCCCCCTCGCCCCTGACCTCTACCAAGCCCCAGCGGTGAATACAGAGGAAGAAAACAAGCCATACCACAACGGAATAAGCTGATTTTGAATGTTATTCATGAGTGATTGGCGTAGTTGATCTTTGTGATAGGTTGATGGTAATCAATGTTTATTCACGGAAACCATAAGGCGCTTTCCAATAAATAACACATCCAATACTTGACAGGTTTCTCGAGCTTGTTTAATACAAAAATAACCCCCTTCTAGACAAATTATATCATCATTTGGATTTTTTTCTCCACTATCTGTTGTTCCTTTAACAGATTCTACTGCACACGGCTTAGAAATAATCTAATTAATCACATTCTGTCAACAATTTGACGTAGATCACGTAGATGCATTATTATGTCGTAAATTAATACCAATCAGCGTGAGTTTTATTCAAAAACAATTCCCAGGAGTTTAGAGGATTACTGTAATTATTTTTCTATCTCTATTAAAGGCCTTAAAGGACGAATATGATTCCGTTGTGCGTTTGCCTAATTGATCTCCGTGTTAGCAAACAGACCATGAAAGACAAGTCAACAGCATACAAACCATATGGGATGAAGTATTCAAGAACGCTACAGATATCCAATCTTTTATAAGAAGGGGATTCACCGAAACGTACTTTGTATTTCTGATAGATATATAATAAATTATCCCGTGTATACATTCCATAAGTAAAAACATTAATATTTGTGAAAAAAATAGCCATAACCTACCTTATAAAATGATACCAAAATTCTTGTTGTGCCGAGCCAACCTACTCTGTTAATCTACACTCACGTATGGCGGACAGCCTCTAAACAGAACTCCATCGAAATCGATTCGTAGATAGTGATGGATCACACCTACACATGCGTCTGCGCGACGACCATTTTCCTGCAAGTGCCAGTACCATTATTCTGAGAGCAACCAAGAAAATCAATTAAGCATTGCGATAATAACATACCTTTGTATTAAGCCTAGACTTATTATTTTCAGCTCAACGAAACATTTCTGTTTTAATGAAAAACATAAATTTCTATATGGTTTCTTTGTTGAGAGCGACAAGTCTGTCGAAATATCAACAATTAGTATAAGCGGTCGAGATGAAAGGCTTTTTTGTGTGACGACAAAAATTAATAGCATGTAGATTGTAAGTAAAAAAAAATATACATCAAAAACAAATATAAGTAGTCTTTGACATTTGATCAAGAACAAAGGCATTGATAATTGATTCTTAAAAAAATATATAAATACATGCTTAATTGAATAGCTATAAGTTTGTTGCATTCCATAGTTTTAATATTAATTTAATAGTAACTGCAGGAGGACAACATTACACAGAAAACAAAAACGGACATAAGACCAGAGAGAGAGAGAGAGAGAGAGAGAGAGAGAGAGAGAGAGAGAGATGGGGGTTAACATCCACTCGACACAAACTAGGTCATTTCGGGACTAACATATAATTCAATTTTATTTCAATAATTCGCTTGAGCGTAGGGGTCCTTAGCAGTGGGAGTAAACCGGAGGACCCGGAGAAAACCCACGATGTTGAACAGGCGACCCTACTCCTTGTCACGTACAACCAGGGAATCGAAACCACGCCAGTTGACTCAATGACAGACCTTATGATACAGCTCGAACGTGCTATCCATTTGGCCATTCGGCCATCCCCACCCCCCATCACAAGACCAACCCAGACCAACCTGCGGACAAGACACACTACATTGCAAGAAATAAACAACAATTAAATAATATATATCAAAGCAAGAGAATGTAGATAATTAGAATGGATAACGGCTTATAAACAATATATATAGATAATTATTCTCGAAGTTACACGACTGGCCGCAAGAAACAAGCCAAGAGGGACGTGTTATGAGACATGCCGTTTTTCTGAAGACACACTTTCGTATTACTGAACCGATGACTGAACTATATAGATTTTAAACAAACTTCATCTGGATATGACATGTTTACGTGTTATTTTAATTACTATCGGGACGTTGGTGGCGTCAGGGGATGCAAGCAAACATTTTTTTCTGAAAAACTGTCAATAGTCAATAACTAAACTAAGCATGTGATAAAGAAGTCAAGAAGTTTTATCTTTGCTTATATCATTCTGTAACACAATCTCAGAATTGGTAAATTGCTCTCGTACAGTTGTACTGCAGCCTAGTCTGAAATATATCGTGGGGGGGGGGGGGGGGTGGCTGAATGGTTAGCGTGCGCGCGCTGTATCATAAAGTCTGTCGTTGAGTCGACTGGCGTGGTTTCGAATCCCCGGTTGTACGTGGCAAGGAGTAGGATCGCCTGTCCAACCTCGTGGGTTTTCTCCGGGTCCTCCGGTTTCCTCCCACTGCTAAAGACCCCTACGCGCAAGCGAATTATGTAAATAACATTAAACCATATGTTAGTCCCTAAATGACCTAGTTTATGTCGAGTGAACGTTAAACCCCATTTCTCTCTCTCTCTCTCTGTGAAATATATGACTCTTTACCTCGGAATAACATTATAATACCTGAAACACCTTGTATTATATTTTGAGCGAAAAAAAAATCTCTACCTTTCAACTGCAATCTGATTAAAACACAGATCCTATTTCGTTTCGTTTTTATAGTTCAAAATTTCGTTTTACTTGTCTTTACTACACTAGGATCTGGAAGAGTTGTTATGTAACCCGCGTTCTGGTTGATGTGAGGGCTTAGCCAATGAAACGGTCTGTTGCGGCCAGTTCTTGGCGTGTGGTGCACGCTGTGGGTATCCCACTAGAAACATTACTGCTGATTGTTTAATCAAATGTCCGATGTCATAGGGTCAAAAGCCGCTCGTGTGACCTCTGACGCGACCTATCGCTACAACCGGTCATATCTTCATGTAGTGTAGGTCATCGAAAGTATAAAAAAACGAAACGAAATATAGATCTGTATTTTAATCAGATTGCTTCAACTGGTGTATACTGTGCATACTGTATTGGTATATACAGTCAAACAGTCTGGAGCAGATTTGAGATGGTTGTGAACGTCCCGGACAAAGGCGTACAAATTTTCCACATCAAGATTGCGATCCCAATCGGTAGATATAGGTTTTTACGTAGCATAATATATTTGGAGGAAGTTATGCCTATAAGAAATGTAAAACTAAGGCCATGGATGGATAGCATCTTTCGCAAGATGTGTCCTGAACGTTCACATCAACTTGCTAAGTTGCATTGCCTAAAGGTCTATTGTTTTGCACACAACTTGATAAAAAGAAATGCAGAAATAAGAAATATAGGAGAAGAGCCAACCGTTTGGCCTCTCAAAATAATATATAATCTATGTAATTCATCAAGTATAGCAGGCTCCCAGAGGGAGGCGTAAACCGCTTAGCACTGACGAAATATTATATAAAATATCACATGTCTCCATTAAAGGACAGGTAAATGCACACTGACTATACATGACAATTTATATAATTGTGTATTATTGTATTGTAGATTCTTATGAATGGATTTAAAATCAATAAAGATTAAAACCCGGTAACTCAATGACGATGGCAAGAAAAACTAGAATCAAGCAACAACGTAAACATCAATTAAATTCAAATTCAGATGAATTTATGAATGTATTTATATATCCAAATGACTGTGTTTATATTTGAATCAATAAAGATTATAAATCCACTTCAAAGTATATACACAGATAAACCAACGGTTGCCAGGCAAGATACGCCCACATTTTGCAAGAGATGGACAGTTTTGTTTTTAAATCAGATAAAAAATGTGACCTCTAGAGATTTTTCGTGCATTCATGGGCCATGATCTAGGAAGTTATAATCTAAAACGGATAAAAATTGCGACCTCTACAGTGTCCACAAGCTAAAAAAAAAGTATTTCACAATGAGATCATGACAACAGGTAAAAACTTATTGTCTTGAGGATTGCTAGCATGTCACGACAGTTGGGTCACCATCCTTCTAATGACGCAAAGGATCTTCAACGTTCTGGTAGACCCCGCAGTGCGTCTGTAAGACCTGATGCATCTCTTATCAGAATCCACCACTGCATTAATCTTGATGTAGGTTGACAGAGACACAATAAATACGGATGTTGCGATACCATGTTGTAAATCAAAGTCGGTCCAATGACCATAAAGCTTATAAGCTTATATCGCCCTATCCATAAATCGATATTTTTTACCGGGCTACCAAAATGAAATTGATGCAGATGCAGTTTTTCTTCAATATCTTTCTTCAAGCAGACGTTAAGTGATTTGTCTTGCTTACAAGGTTTCTTTAAACAGCTGGAAGTAATTGAAATAGACGATACTTAAAGGAGCTAAAACAAGTTGATTTAAGTCAAAATAAATTGGATTGATCTGATAAGTGATACTAGACAATATAATTTTTTTTTTATACGCCCACGTATTCACTCGGACGTATTATATCGTCACCCCTGTCCGTCAGTCTGTTCACATTTCTTTGTGGACACTCTGGCCTCATCATCCAATTTTGATGAAACTTAAAATATATTTTTATATCCAAAAGATCTCGTATGGGTTCCATTTGGACGGTAACTTCGTGAATTTTATCCGATTTTGATGAAACTTAAAATATATGTTTATATCCAAAAGATCTCGTATGGGTTCCATTTGGACGGTAACTTCGATCGTGGATTATATCATCACCCCTGTCCGTCAGTCTGTACACCTGTTCACATTCTTTGTGGACACTTTACTGGCCCCAATTTTATCCGATTTTGATGAAACTAAAAATATATGTTTATATCCAAAAGATCTCGTATGGGTTCCATTTGGACGGTAACTTCGTGGATTATATCGTCACCCCTGCCCGTCAGTCCATATGTCTGTTCACATTTCTTTGTGGACACTCTACTTGCAGCAATTTTATCCGATTTTGATGAAACTAAAAATATATGTTTATATCCTAAAGATCTCGTATTGGTTCCATTTTGACGGTAACTTCGTGGATTATATCGTCACCCCCAGGGGCGCCGGAACCCGGGTACTAGGGTATACAAATGGTACCCTGCCCTTTTCTGGGGTATACATGTATACCCATGCCCTAATGATGAAAGTTTTTCAACCTTTTTACTAGTCTATTCATTTTTAAATGATAGATACGTAATTGCTCTCTGGTCGGTCGCGAACCGGCTCTGGCACTCTCATTGCCAGCTATTAGCGCATGCCTTGGCCAGATGCAACATCTGAAAACCTGGACTAGGTCCACAATGTCTCAGAATTCTCTGAACAATCGACTATTTGCCAAAATTCACAAGTTGAGAATAAACGAAATAGACATAGTGAAATTATTACCTGAATTTATTGTGAAATCTGATCAGCGCATCAATTATTTCGGTCGATTGTAGTCTTAGTCCTGTGGCTGAAGGGGGGGGGGGGTCGCCACCCGAGCTGTGAATTTATGAGACCAAGGTTTTCCTAGACCAGGTTTTTTGCGTAGATATGGGGGTCCAATGTCGACAATTGGGGGAAATGTCTTTATGTTGACATAAATGGTGATGATGTTATATATAAATAGAACATAGATTTCTAGGACTGTCCATCTCTAAATAAGTGTATATGATGCCCCTGGACAACTATTTGGGGTGGGTGGTTGCAGGTGTGCTTGTGTGGAAGTGTGGGGGGGGGGGGGTAAATTGGCGGGAAATGAATTCATGTTGATTTAAATGATGATTTTCTTAGAACATGATGAAACATCTCTACAAATATGTGTATAAGATACATCAGTAGATGAAATTAGAAGAAAGATTTTCTGGAGGAATTTTAATGGTTTCTTTTATTACCATCTTGCCTGTGTAGTCTTTTGCTGCACATTAAATGACCGAACAAGATCACCTTGCGATACAATACAAGGCTGGAATGAAGATTTACTATGCGAATGGGTATCTGAAGCATATCAAAGGATATATGCGAGCTGTTGATCACCCATAAAGAAGATATTTATCACGCTCATATTATGAACATTGATTTTGAATCTTCTGATGAAGAATATAAGAATAAACTAACATCTAAACATGTCTCTTGTTTACTGTTTTTTTCCAGATCTCTTGAAAAGTACTGTTACAATCAATCTGATTAAAATACAGATCTATATTTCGTTTCGTTTTTTTTATACTTTCGATGGCATACATTACATGAAGATCTGACCGGTTGTAATGGCGGTGGCGTCAGAGGTCATACGATCGTTTTTTGACCCTATGACGTCAGACATTGATTAATCACCCAGCGTTGATAAGAACTCACCGTAACAGACCGTTTCATTGACTAATCCCTCACATTAACCAGAACGCGGCTTATATAACAACTCTTCCAGATCCTAGTGTTATGAAGACGAAATTTTGAACTATAAAAAACGGAACACAATAGGATCTGTGTTTTAATCAGATTGCAATATATAATATTTTGAATGACGAAATTGGTACTGAACGAAAAAAAAGCTAACGAAAAGCCACTTTTCAGGTCAATTTTGAACCAAGTGGTTTCTGTCCCCAAAAATACATTTACCCCCCCCCCCCCCCCACCACCCTCCCTACAATTGGACTCTGATACATATATTTAGAGATGTGCAATGAAATTAAAAAGTAATGTTTTCATCAAGCTCTAAGAAAATCATCATTTAAATCAACGTGAACTCATTTCCCGCCAATTTTATCCCCCCACCCTTCCACACACCGGCAACCCCCACCCCCACAAATCAAAACAGTTTGCCAGGGGCAGACAGAATATACACTTATTTAGAGATGGACAATCCTAGAAATTTATGTATTATTAATATATAACATGATCATCATTTATGTCATCATTTATATATGTAGACATTGGACACCCTTATCTCGAAAACGGCCCCCTCAAACGCCTGATCACTTTTTGCCGACCCCACCCCAATTAAATGGTAATTTATACTCATACTTAGAGATGTGGAGCGGAATTTAAAAAAGTAATGATTTTATCAAGCTCTAAGAAAATCATCATTTAAATCGACGTGAACTCATGTCCTGCCAATTTTACCCCCCCCCCCCCCCCGCCTACACACATGCACACCTGCAACCACCTACCCCAACTCGCCACAAATCAAAACAGTTGAACAGGGGCATCATAAACACTTAGTTAGTGATGGACAGTCCTAGTAATGTATGTTTTATTAATATATAACATGATCATCATTTATGTGAACATAATCACATTTTCACCCAATTGTAGACATTGGACCCCCTATATCTCGAAAACGCCCCCCTCAAACGCCTGATCACCACCCAGATTCGGAATCTACGCCAAAAACTGGCCTAGAAAAACTTGGTCTCATAAATTCACAGCTCGGGTGGCGATTTCCCCCCTTCAGACACCGGACTATCTCATTATAGTGTCTCGTTAACACTTGCTCCTGAATATGAGCTCTTGCAAGAATCGTGTCTCTAAATCTACTGTCTCGTTCAAAAGCTTATTCTATTTTCTTGATGACGATTGGTGTATTGAATGTCAAATTTAAAAGAATTTGTTATGAGATGAATTGCTCATGATACGAAAATTGTGAATAATCAGGCTTTTGTCTCTTTCATTATCATTTATTTTAAAGGGTTTTATGTTGGATTTGGAATGCTAGAGGTGAGGTGCTCTAAACAGCGTTCTCGGAATTGACAAATTTCAAAATTTTCTAGAGGCCGGTGGGGGGGGGGGGGAGACCCCCGCCCGTCAGTCCATACGTCTGTTTACATTTCTTTGTGGACACTCTACTGGCCTCAATTTTATCCGATTTTGATGATACTAAAAATATATGTTTATATCCTAAAGATCTTGTATGGGTTCCATTTTGACGGTAACTTCATGGATTATTGAACCTGATTGTACGAAAAACCCGCGTTTACAGCCGGTATATTTTTAATCCCTTGCTTACTACAATATTGTGATAATTGAATCTCTAGAAGGAATACCAGTCCAACTATTGGTTTGAGTTGTGAACATCCAGCATCCAATGCTGCAGATGATATATAGGTATGATGGTAAAAATCAGGCAGCTTCACCTATTATTTTCACTAATCTGATTGATATTTTATTGATCTTAGAATCAGGGGCGGATTGGACTATCGGGCGATCGGGCAAACGCCCGAAGGGCCGGTCGGACAAAAAATGAAAAAAATTTTTTTTGTCCAATTCGTCTAAAAAACCCTTTTCTGCAGAACATTATAGGGGGGGGGGGGTATATTGGACCAGCCATGGAGCGATGATGGTCATGTTGTATGTGACCGGTGGCTTTAAGGGGCCGCCACGCCATCACTGGAATCTGGAATGGGCTGGTATAATAGACTTTCTGGGCCGGGTGTGCTGAGTGTTTGCCGGAATTCGGAATCATGCAATGGGGATTCCGAATTTCATCCGAAAATTTCATCGGATTCACCCGACACTGTCGCCCGCAAATTTACTAAATATTAAGTCACCTGCACCCTGTTTGTGGGGATACGCCAGAAACGTCTGTCGATGGTTCGTAACTCCAAAATAAATTCAATTTTAAGGCCTCAGCAAAATTTGATGATATCTGGTCTTGACGATACAATGATAATACGTTTATTGATAATACGACGATATGATAATTTCACAGGTTGATGGTTGTAAATTTTCATGGGGGAGAGCCCCCGCCCCTCCCACATCCGGACTCCGCGGTCAGTAAAAGTGGCCGCTCCGACACGGGAGCCCGGGCCGGTTCCCGGCCCCAATCCGCCCCTGCTTAGAATGATAAATATTTGGTTCTTCAGTTGCGCTGATCTTACAATGGATCTTTATAGAAAGCTTCTTAAATGGAATTAGAATTTAAGCACTATTTCAATCTGATTAAAATAAGGAGGTCTATATATTTCGTTTCATTTTTTATACTTTCGATGGATTACACTACATAAAGATCTGACCGGTTGTACTAGAAGGTCGACCCAGGGGTCGTACGAGTGGTTTTGACTCTATGACGTCAGACATTGATTAATCAATTAGCATTGATGTTTTAGTGGTTAACCCACAGTTCCGTGCATCAAACGCCAAGAACTCGCCGTAACAGACCGTTTCGTTGGCTAATCCTTAACTTCAACCTGGACACCAGTAATATAACAACTCTTCCAGATCCTTGTGTAGTAAAGACATCTAAAACAAAATTTTGAACTATATAAAACGTAACGAAATATGATCTGTGTTTTAATCAGATTGGCAATATTTAGAGCAAAATAAATTCAAAACTGCCCACCCAGATCACCACCTTCTGACCTCTAGTAGTTTGGTTTGACTCATCTGACAGCAGCTACTCAACCCAACTGGGCCCTGTTACAAACCTTGGCCACCTTGCTGTGACCATCCCACTCCACTGATGAAAATCATAGATGTCTTCAAGCTGAATAAATTATGAAAACCTTCAAAATATGTATAGCTGATGAACCGGCACTGCCTGGGTTGCGCCCGTAACTCCAAAACCGGAAGCGGTAAGTTTACGCCACCTAGCCTATGTTGCTCCCCGGTCCAAGATACCCATATATGGTTAGATCTAATTGATAAGGCCAAATTCAAGTTTGGTCAATGGTCATGATATGTAAACAGAGCTAACACTAATCCCAACCCTTACCCTAATCCTAACTTACAATCTCACCAACAAGCATGTGCCCTAATCTTATTTACATCTCAGCTACCTTGACGAAAATTGAGCTGGCTTTAACAAATAGATTTAGTGGTAGATTGGAAGTATTAGCGGCCCTATTCATGAAAACTTAAACCACTTGACAACCTTGACAAAAATTGAGTTGGCCTTAACAAATAAATTTAGTGGTAGATTTGAAGTATTAGGGGTCCTATAATGCCTATTCATGAAAACTTAAACCACCTGACAACCTTGACGAAAATTGACTTGGCCTTAACAAATAGATCTAGCCGCCCATATACACCAAATTTCAGTCTCGGGACAGCCCTAGTGTATCTAACAACCCTGAACAGGTCTGGGATCGAAACCACATCCCTCTTGACTCAATGTTCCCCTGTATGATCTAAAATGCACCACTCAATCACTGGGCTAATGAAGACGGGCATACGCTATATATAAAGTGTGCTATGAGGGAAATTTTGCCTGGGCAGTGGCACTATGGTCTACTCTTCTATCGAATTCCAACTGTCAAGGGATCTTTTACGTTCACGCCAATGTATTCACAACTGTCCTAGTCAGACCCCACGTCCTGCACCACTGACAAGGGGGAAACCATGTCGGAAAATCACAATGAACTTTCTCGGCCAATGCAGGGATTGAACACGCGACCTCCAGGCTAGTGAGCCAACGTCTAGCCACCCTGACTCCCCTACTCAGTCACCAATACCCACTGTTAAAATGTGAGCTTATGAAGACAACGACTTAGTTCACAATAATAAATGACTTTATTCACTATTTTAACAATAAAGTTTACAAGGAAAAAAAAAAAAAAAAAAAAAAAATAAAACAAAACTAAAACAACACATAATCATCAGTGATGGGATTACTAATTATAATTTTTATGCCATTATTATAATACTTGCTCACTTTAAATAATTTGAAGATATTTAAACTATTGTTCCTGATTTAACACACCACTACCTTAATGTTATAACATTAAAATATAGATTATATAAATTCTTATAAGCTAAAAATGTGACCTTATATTAATTGTAATAATGAATCTATTTGTCAACTCTTGTTATTTTATTTGATTAAATATCTTTACCATATTTTGTTTTCCCCAAAATTCTTTCAAATCATCAAATCATGACATTTTCAAAAATCTAAAAACAAAATTTACAAGTACTTGAATTGTTTAACTTCATTGCTCTTTTAATATCAGCCATCATCATATGATAAATATTGGTCAAGTTCATTTTGATCTTAATTATATCTGTTTGATGATAATGAATACAAGCCGAATTAAACAAGATTTGTTCCTGACATCAGGTCTATAGGTAATTATTACTGGGTTTTGTTTAGCTGTGATCGCCATGGCAACACAGTAACTATTTTAACATTGTTTATTCATATGTATAATGTACAATGACAACAATTCATTATCTTGTCTTAGCCATTAATTACTACATTACATTGTAATTGATTAAAAACCTGCCATCGGTGATAATGGCTTTAGCTTAATGAGCAAATGGTGAATACATCTTCAATCAATCTTATTGTAGAAACGTCTGATTGAAGGAATTAATATAAAACCATAAAATCATGAAATATTTCACGATTCATTAAAACCAAATAATTGGTTATTTGTTCTAATAATTTGAATAATTACATAAGTAGATTTGATGCCTGGATAATCCTGTACCAAACATTTTTTTATATCAAATATATCTATACTCAGATGTGTGTCCAGGAGAGAGGGGAGAGGGGGACGGGGTCTATACAGGAAAGACCCAGAAGAGAGCTTAGCAGAGAGTCTATACATTTAAAAAGAGTAAATTTCCTTCTAAAATGGCCTCAGATGCAAGGAAATCAACCTCAAACTCTCAAATTTTCTTGGGAGTAGTCGGTCACGCCGGAACAGCCCCCCTTCCCCGACCCCACCCCTGATACTGGATGATAATAATATTTAAACAATTCTAGGATATTTACGTTTTCCAAGAGTGCTAAAATATTTGATAAAAAAAATGTTGAGTATTTATATTATTAACTACTCAAAATGATTTATAAACAAAAGCCAAAGGGTGTGATAAATAGTTCAACAATGATATTCTTCATTAATGCAATGACAGATCTAAGAACCTTTTTTTTTAAATTTGATATCACATGACCAAAGTTTAAGTTAAAACATAAATAAAAACAATATATTATGAGCATGTTATTGGCCCCCTTTTTGTTGTAAATAACACATTTGACATTTCAAAATATCATTTAGATAAAATGAGGGTACTTTTATTATAATACTTCTAATAATTAAGCTTCTATATAAATATTAAATAATAAGTATTATGCTCAATCTCAATACAGAAGATAAAAAGTATCATTTAAATCTATTGCACTTTGGAAGATACCCTTTAAATTTTTTCACATAGGTACTTATCACTTTTACCTGGATTTCAATTACCAATAGCACTTTGTACTTTAAATATATTTAAATAAAAAGTTTAATGGAATGTTTGCTGAAAACAAAATGTCCATAATAATGGACAACAAGTACATAAATGTGGAATTTCTGTCTCGAATTTGGAATTCATTGATATAATAGAATGTAAGAATAGAAAAAGCTTAAAGTAATTAAATATCACAGTAAGTTTTTTTACATGGAGATTTTAATTAATAAACTGATATTTTCCACTTTGCTTCATTTTACTTATTCACGTTTCAAATATCAATTATATTGGAATTTTATCTCATCAGTAATACATTCTTATTTATAAAATTACCAGGCCTTTCATTATTTCAGAGGAAAGGTTTAAAATAATTTGAAGGACATTTGTTTAAATATAATATACTGTTGTTGGCGCTCATGAATTCAATTTTAATATAAATTTAATTTGAAATCCTACAACCGAAGATAGTAACAGATAGTGTTATTTATGTGGGGCTGTGATACATTTAACTATAACAACTTGGTGATTATATATATATTATATATCAACATATACATACAATAAATATATATATACATTCAATGGAAACAAAAAACCTCTCTAGTTGACATTATTCTTATTTGATTTTAAAGTCCACATTTAATTAAATGTTACTTGGTTTTGAATTTCTTCCGTGTATTGATGTCAAATCTGAGAATTGATAAATGATATATGTTATGTATGTGTAATTATTTTTCAATAACTATTTTTGTTGTTCTGAAACACATTTTCTATATATACACATGCTTATACCAGTCTGATTAAAATACACATCTATATTTCATTTCATTTTTTTATACTTTCGATGGCCTACACTACATGAAGATCTGAGCAGTTGTACTGGAAGGTCGTGTCATGGGTTGTACAGGTGGCTTTTGACCCTATGACATCAAGACATTGATTAAACAATCAGTGTTGACGTTTTTAGCGTATTACCTACGATTCCGTGCATTGCGCGCCAAGAACTCCCCATAACAGACCGTTTCATTGGCAGATCCCTCATTTCAATTAGAACGGTGGTATAACAAATCTTCCAGATCCTAGTGTAGTAAAGACAAGTAAAATGAAATTTTGAACTACAAAAAAACGAAACAAAATAGGATCTGTGTTTAAATCAGATTGATGTCTATACATAAATTAAAACACGACAAAATGAATGAACACCTTTCTAGTTTTAACTGTAAACCAGCTTCTAACACATTTCCATAATATGCTCATTCATATCGCCATGGTAACTTCTTTTATAACATTCTATACCACCATAACTATTATTGCTTGACCTTTGAACTATGTAATACTTATGGATTAAATAATAAGTATAGTTGTGTACATGAGAAAAGGAGCTAAGTGGGACAAGCATATAGCTACATACTACTACACACAGTGTTATAAATTATCTCTTATATCATTAAACAACGACCATATCAATCATCTCTCTAGTCACAAACTTCTATCATTACTAAAGCAGTGGACACATTAGCCTAATCATTCGGCCGAATCGTTTGGCTGAATCAATCGGCGTTGGTGCCAAATTTTATTCGGCCGAATGGGTGGACACATTAGCCGAATGCTTCGCCCGATTCACCAGTCGATTGCGTCACCTTTCACGTCACGTGATTAAACAAGGCAGCATCTACATCTTCAAACAATCACATGACTTCTCAATGAGTGGTGATTGGCTAATGAATTCTACATTCAGCCGAATGCTTCGACGAAGTGGACACACCAGGCGAATATAATTTGACCGAATATATCAAACATGTTTGATTCGGGCGAATGACAGTGGACACACAAGGCGAATTTCGACGCCGATTGATTCGGCCAAATCATTTGGCTAGTGTGTCCACCGCTTAGGCAATTCAATCATATGTCTTTCACATTTATTCCATCATTTTCAATAAAAACATTATTCTATTGTTAGTACTGCAGTTGTTAAAACTGTTATTCTATTGTTAGTACTATCTGCTGTTGTTAAAACTGTTATTCTATTGTTAGTACTATCTGCTGTTGTTAAAACTGTTATTCTATTGTTAGTACTATCTGCAGTTGTTAAAACTGTTATTCTATTCCTCTATATGAATACCCAGTATTAGTTATTAAGTAGTGACATGAGCCTGTCTGTATGAGGATATTGTTGATCATGTGACCAACTAATTATATATGTATATTATCAACCACCAATAAATATATATAGATGTTATTTTATCAGCTTAAAACAAATATGTGACTTGTCAGAAATTCTTGGTTCCTTATAACATCTATGGATACAGCGTAAATTTAATTAACATTTCTGGCCTTCTCCAAATAAATACAGAATGTATAATTATTACATGTAATTGAGATTTCTGGCATTCTCCAAATGAATACATAGTTTGAAGTTTGAACCAATGTATAATGACCATACTATAACCGAGATTCATGACATTGCAATTTAATATAGGAATTTGAAGATATTAATCATATCTGTTGGAGAATAACCTATTGTATTGGCTGCTTTTGTGAAAGAAATTTTGACAAGTCAATGTCACATGTACACATAGAAATACTCTTGGGCACCTTTTTTGTTAAAAAGAAACCAAGGATAATAATTGAAAACAATATATATGTTAAGAACTGAAGATTCATGAAAAAATCTTCCCGGAAAAGATGACATGATTTAGCTCTTCTCGGGCACCTCCTGTAGCGTGTGCCACTGAGCAATAGGTCTTCTGGGATTGGCCAACATGTCACTCCAGTGTCTCAACTCTGTACCAGTTGAGTTGCAACCTAATAGAACTCGTCCAATGGGTTCAGAGGTTCCAATCCTGTCATAATCTACTACTGTGATAATCAACTGTACTTTCTGAAAAATACAAAAAACATATACTAATAAAATAAACTCTACTTTCTGAAAAATACAAAGCATATATCAATAAAATAAACTCTACTTTTTGATAGTTAGATATATGTAGCATATTTATAATGTGCAACATCTCCTGTTATGGTAATATATTCAATGTACTTCATGAATTTATTCACAAATTATTGTAATTGATGCAATAACTCTAGATTCTGTCTTAATGGTTGCTGAACAAAGCACGATTTATTGCATTACATGGATGATAGTATGGATGGAATGAAACTTAACATCAAGTCTACACTTTACTTGGGTCATTTTTTAAAAAATTAAATACCGGATATGATAATATTTTTTTTTTATGATCATGTATGCAATTTTGAGTGGGGACTTTTAAATGTACTACCAATTCCTATGCAGGCCCCAGTTTATTTGTTCAATACCAAGAACTTCCAATGACATGTAAACAGCTTGATCAGGGGAGAAGCCAAACAAGAGTTATTTCCCTTTATGTGGGAAAAATTCAATTATTGTGATAAACTGGATAGTTATTTGCCATTAAATTTCGATTTAATTTAACTTAAAGAATTATAAATAAAAGATCCTTCAAACATTTGGTCCTAATGAATAATAGTCATTTTAAAATATTAGCAATTAGGCCTATACTATAAGCTTAGCCAATCTGATTAAAATACAGATCTATATTTCGTTTCGTTTCTTTTTATACTTTCGATGGCCTCTACTACATAAAGATCTGACCAGCTGTAACGGGAGGTCGTGCCAAAGGTCATACGAGCTCCTTTTGACCCTATGGCGTTAGATATTTGATTAACCAATCAGC